CAAGTCATTCTTACGTATACTATAATCGTATTACTATAATTATATTTGAAAACAGTTATTGGTACTTTTGTCATCTTATCTTTATACTGAAAAAAATCAGGAAAACAAATATTTAATGTCATAATTAAATTATGATTAAACATTCTTTAAGATAGAGAAGATATTAAATTATACTTAGATTATTTAATCTTGAATGTAACTATTATTTATTTCTTAATTTAATTTCTTCAAAGATCTCAGAAAAAATTGTCGAATTTTACGAATGCAAAATTATTTTTCGCGCATATTTACCGGATAGGTTGTATTAGTATAAACAGTGAATATTGTCCGAAAAACAACTACTTTGTTTCTGGGATTTGGAGGTGTCTAAACGAAAGGAAACTTTTTATTTTCCTTATCAGAAACTTCAAAAGCTGGACAATGTTTTCCGGCGTAGCTGGATGTAAAACAAAGATTGAATTTTAATGATGTAGATTTCCGAAATTATATTACTGATATTTCATGATTAGCATTACGAAAATTTTATGAAAATATAATTTCGACAGTAGAGTATTCTATTAAATTCTATTAAACATTTGTATTATTCAAATTATATTATAAAAATTATATTAAAACATTTCACACACCAATCCTCATTTAATGAGTCTTCCGATTCCGATAAAGTCGATTCATTGAACAAAATATTGCATAATTAATTATGAACATCAAGATTTTTTCTTTTTTCGATGATTTTTAATCGCATAAACATACATTTGCCATCGAGGAGCAATTGTTTGCTGATTTTCGAAAAGCTATATGTGAATTGCATGTTGAAAAAAATAAAGAATAATAAATTTTTATTAATATTATAAAACGGTCTCGCTTTCCCGCGCGGAGAGCGGTCAGCCGGTTACCAGGAGGGGAAGCGAGGACGTTGGAGACAGAAAGGTGTTATTAAATTGTTAGGCGATAATTATAACAAATAACGATGTTTTATTTGACTAATAGTGGTGCGATGGAATGCACCGAATCTTCGCATTAATGTTTGTGGCCGTGGACGGGCGAGACGGCGATCGGCGCGCGGATAGCGCGTGAATATAAAATAAGATATCGCTCGGGCGGTCGGCGCGATACTAATCGCGGCGCGCCGTTCGATGGCGCGGGGCGCGCGCGGCGGCGGCGGTGTCGCACGTGTTCGTCGCGGGCCTTTAAATCGGCGTGGATTTAAACGTGCACGCGTGTCGCGGGTGTTGTCGCGAGGGTGGATATTTCGCGAGGTCGGCGGATCGTTTAGATCGGAGAACGGGTGGGCCCATTCCCTGCCGAGAGGGCTCGGCTGACGGGAGGTGCGCCCCTCGTCTATCTGTCTGAATGCCGAGGGAACTCGGCCAGCTGGGGAGGGCCCCAGCTGTGTGCGGAGAAGAAAGTGGCGGTGCCGAGTGTACTCGACCGACCAGGGTGTACCCTGGTGTTCGGAGAGGTAGTATCGGGGAGAACCCCGATACTCGGCGGTGAAATCTCGGGAACGGCGGAGTCGGGTCGAGCGAACTCGACGCGCTGGGGAGACCCCAGCAACTCTCGGCTTGCCGTGCGAACTACGGAGACGGCTTTTGGTCAGGCCAAGCGAACTTGGCGCGTTGGGGAGAACCCCAACAAATCTCAGACTTGCTACCGGTTACGGATGCTCGCTTCCTTGAGACGGGCTCTCGGAAAACGAGCTAGGAACAGGAGTAAACGAGGAGTGATTTCCTGTGGAGAGCGATGCTTTTTTATATCCGAGATCGACCTCGGTATTTTCGGTCGGATCGGTCGGATTGGTCGATCTCGGGGTTAGCATCCCTCTCCCCAGGAGCGAAAAAAAGGATCGGGGGATGATTGGTTTTTTAGTAGGGAAGGAATTCGGTGAGAAGGTAGCGGCGCGGTGCGGAGTGCGTTCGCGCTTGTTGACGCGACGCTTGGCGCGGTGCGGGGAAATACCACGAAAACATACGTGTTTTCGTGGTATTCTTCGACGCTTTGGAGTTCGCGTATGAATGTATTAAAAAGGAGGCATTGCTGCCTCTTTGCGGCCACTGCCGCATTCCGCCTGGTGTTCGGCGGTCCCCGACGGATGATCGGTCGGGGGAAATTCGGAGGAGGAATGGAGTGGAGGAATGCGCTCCGTTACAATTAATACAAATATTAAATCTATCACAATAGGAGATCAAAATATTTCATCGAGCATTTGTCGGATTAAATCTTAGTAGTATGTGGGGCGTCAAAACAAACCCCCACCACTTTCCCACTGGCGCCAGGGCGTGACCTCCAGCTGTCAAGATAGGGCCTCCACGTGGAAATGGAGCGTTCTGATTGGCTGAGGGGCATGGCCGGAGATAATTAGGTAATTAATGATGCGTTCTGATTGGATTCTCCCATAGTTGCCCGGCGTGTGATTGGACGCTCCCATAGTTGCCCACGTGCGTGATTGGATGCTCCCAAAGCTGCCCGGGATGTGATTGGTTGTCGAAATGCTAGACGAAAAGATAGGGGAGGGGAAGAAAGTGTCTGGGTATGTTTGGGTCCGATAAAATGGCGTGTACAAAGATGGCGGACACGTGAGGAGAATTTGTTCCGGAATCTGATCGGGGGTGCGATAAAATGGCGACAAGAAGGATGCCGGGGTGTTGAAAGGAGATAAACCTGACTAGCGAAGAATGGAATGCGATGGGAAAACAGGAACGGACAAGTTCGCTTTAGATGTTTTAACGACCTCAGGGTTATACGAAGCTCTTATCCTATGACAAACGCAATGTCTGCAAAATGTTTTAGATATTTTTAGCTTAAAGTAATGTAGCTAGGATTAATTTTAGGTTGGTGGGAAAATAAGAGGGCTGGAATTTAAGTTACAAAATCATTAAGTTATTATTATTATTATTATGTAATACATCATTGTACATATCATTTCATAATAGTGTT